AATCACCGCAAAGACTGTGTGGTCGCTAGAACCTTATGACCTAGTTTGGACAAAAATAAAACGAAAAGCCTTTTAGGTTTCAGCAAACCTGCAGTTCGTGTACTTACTGAAGTACTTAAGGGGTACTGTGCCTATGTTCAAACGGTGGCGAGTTGCAACAAGTGAATTATGCAGGAGTTGCCAAGATGAAGAGGAGGTACAATCCATCAATGACTTTCTGTGTCTCTGTCCAGGGCTGCAGACAAGGCGACTTCAATGTCTTGGAAATTGCTTTTTTACTGGCTTGGTAAAGATAACGAAAGCAAATTTATCGGAACTCCTCAAGTCCATCTGAAAAACCAAATCATTTAACAAGGATAAAAAAGGTTATCAACTCGCCCCTCCCGGCAAAATTTTTAAGTGCTTCATAATGGGGAATATATGCCTCCGAGTGGAAGTGCTGATAAATGTCAGCAGGCGCCTTCCGAACCTAACCTTACCTTACTCGGAAACTCATTAGAGTAAAAACCTTTTACATTCATTTAAAATATATGTTTAAGTTCTCATAGATTAATGAATTTTGTTGTTAAATAAACTTAATTTATCATAATCCTTGTTTTTAATTTCTGTATTATTATTGAGTTTTATATGAAAGGCATATATGAATATAGTTTTTTAATTAGTAAATTAAAATTCATTTGTTGATAAAATTTCCCCATTCTCTACAACATTTATACATTTGATATTTCAATGTTAGGTCCCTCGATTCTGGCGTTATATGCTGACGAAACGTGTATGTTATACTTAGATAAATGTGGTCTCAACATAACCAACACACTTTAAGAGAATATAAACCTCATTCTGGAGTATTTCCAGAAATGGAAAATAAAAATCAATAATGAAAAAACTAAGGCTCTGTTTATTACACGTAAGTGGAGACAGACTCCGTCGAGAGTGAGAGTGCGAGATATGGTAATAAACTGGGAGGATAGCGTTAAATATCTCAGCATCACGTTGGACAAACGATTGACATGGTTGAAACATGTTCAACTGAAAAGAATTAGTTATGCCAAAATTCTTCATCACCTCCAATCGCTATTCAGAAATTAAAATCTCAATGCTAAGAACAGGAAGTTAGTATAGGTATAACCAAATCATTCGTCCGTCACTTCTATATGGATGTGTAGCGTTTAACAAAGCTTCAAATGGTACTATTCGACAGCTACAAATTGTACAAAGCCGGACTCTGAGAAGACTTTTCAAGATAACATGGTATATTAGAACGAATGATATCCTCAAGGACCTCAAGATTGATTCGATCAAAAATTACATAAAGGATGGAGCTGTGAAAACTGACAGGCTTACCAACGTCGAGTTATCGAATCTCAGAATGGTTACAGGCTCCTCGTGGAGGTATGCAGATCTAAAGTCAATTATTGCGTGAAGAGGAGTTTTGAAGATCATCATCATTTTGGCATCACACTCCAGGATGAACCATTCCTCTACAATACGCCTCCATTCTTCTCTGCATTTCACTTTCTTTCTGTGTTGTGTTATTCTCGTCGTTCGTCTTCTACATCTTGTAACCATCTTCGTCGTGGTCGTGCTCTTTTTCTACTCCCCTCTGGCTTTGTCTCGAAAATTTTCTTTGTCATTCTTTCGTTACTCATTCGAGATTTTGAAGATACCTCGAGTTTATAAAGAATCAAAGTGCTCAAGTGATGATAAAATAAAACAATATAATATTACATATATTATATGCAGGAACCATTAAAAACTAAATTGTTTATGACTTCTATTCAAGTTTTTTTATATAATAATGCTAATAGCTAATATTTGTATATTATTATGAGTCACCTAATTATTATATCTAAAATTTGTGACTTAAACTTAATATAAAAATATTAAATTTGTATATAACTTTGTAACAAATACTAATAGCTAAAAAATATGATAGATTAATCTTAAAAAATAAAAAAAAATAATTTGTATATCTATCCCTAAAGGATGAACCTAATAAATCTGTGAAACACTCCTATTTTTGCTATATTTCTATTTGTTTAAAAACACCTAATGTTCTAAAAAATAAGTTAATTATATTATAATATGATTATAAAACATAAAACTTGTATGTTAATATTAATGTTGAAATAAGAACTTAATATACTCAAGAAATATAATTTCGTTAAATGAAAAATAATATTAAAAAATAATATAAATATATATTTTTATATAAGTATATGTATATATATATATATATATAGTGGAAACTCACCTGCATGCCGATAATGGCATAAATAAAAAATAGCATAGCTATTAGCAAACAGACATACGGAAGTGCTTTGAATGATTGTACGAAAGTCCATAGAAGGATTCGTATTGTGTATCCTTGTCGGAGCAATTTTATCAAACGTGCCGCACGAAATAAACGCAGGAAGCCAACGTTGATTGAGTTCGACTGTAAAATATTTGTGGTCAAGAAATGAGAGATGCATTAGTGGCATTTCAGGTGTATCTGTGCAAGTGTAGTTTTTCGTACGTTGATTTTACGTTGATGTTAGTACGTTCACCGTATATAACAACGTTCTTAAATTTTATTTTCATTTTAAATTAATTTAATTAATTTAAGTAATTTAAGTAAATTAGGTAATAAAAAAATTTTACAAAAAATTGATTAATTGTTTAATTGATTGATTGAATTGATAAAAAATACAGTCAATTTTATAAAAGTTAGAAAAATTTTTATTTAGTTACTAATAAATAAAAAAAGAATTTTACAAATTTTCTAATTTACACACCAATTATTTTAAGAGCCAAAAGAAAAAAATTATATGTTAGTAATACATTCGCAAATTTGTTTAAGTTCAATTGTGTCGTTGCAGTTTCATTTTCTGTGGTTAGTCAAGAAACAACTTATGAGTTAATCTTAAAGCCAATGCAAATACTTATCGATAAATACAAACATAAAAATTAAATTTTTGAAATAATTTGAAATTTTGTTAACATTTTTCAAAAAAAAAAAATCTCAGCG